ACGCAAAGCATTATGGGGATGTGAAAGTCGAGAATATATTTAATTTATAAGGATGATTTACAAATGAAAAAACAGCAGTACTTTATTTTCCACAACCGCATTTGTTTATATAAAAATACTGCAACCATACTACTATGCTGTTCACTTATAAGTGATTTTGAAAATAATTTTTCCCCTTCATATACACTTTAAAGTACAAAACAGTAAAATAATATTACTAGTATAGTTCATGAATCTCCTTTAACCATTTAACTATACATTTTTCTTTGATTTTGTTCTAGTACGTTACCTTCTTCGGTATGGTTAATAAGAACTTTGAGAGTGACTTCGCCATTGACGACATCAGCTTCGACACGAAGCCATGCACAACGATTAACGGTAATGCACGACAAACCCACAAGTTATAAATAGACCCTTTGAAAGCACTAGGAAATCTAGAACAGAGACATCAGACCGGAAGTAAAAAAAAAAAATTTTGATGAGGAGTTGGGTTTGCTAACGAGTGTTACATCTCAGCGTTCTCGACGCGAAACACGCAACTGATATTCTACCCGTACTATACTCTTAAATGTCCAAAGCTAAGTTTATTTAACGCTTGAGCACGAAAAGTGACATGAGTATGGATACAAGTCAAACAAAAAGTATTATCTCAAGAGAATAAGAATGAGATCTATAACTCACCGTAATCTTTCTTGTTCTGCAGACTGTATTCCATCTTGTATGAAAGGCACATCTTGTAACGTGGCCACCAGAACTTGTGATTGTGGGAAACGGAAACATGTTGATGAAAGCTGTAGAAACAGTAAGTAAACAACTCGTTACAATATTTATAGGCATTTTCATCGTGATATTTATAAAAGTAGTGATGAATGAGGGGTCCCAAGTTAAAGTCTTGAGGAACACCTGACCGAATACTTTAGATCATTAAGTATAGATCTTTCAGAAACAGTAAGCAACTCGTTATGTTTATAGACACTGTCATTGTGATGTTAACAAAATTAATGATGAATGAGGGGTCCAAAGTTAAAGCCTGAGGAACACCTGACCGAATACTTTAGATCATTAGGTGTAGATCTTTCAGAAACAGTAAGCACCTCGTTATAATCTTTATAGACATTGTCATTGTGATGTTAATAAAATTAATGATGAATGAGGGGTCCCAAGTCAAAGCCTTGAGGAACATCTGGCCGAACACTTCAGAACATTAGGTGTAGATCTTTTACACATTCTCTTAATATGCCAACCATTTTAACAATATGAAAATGATTTTTTCTCTGATAACTTAAAATTTCTTTTCTAAACTAAACTGAACTGAACTAAAACTTTCATTGCCTCCGTAGTATTGCACAAGACAGTGTTTGTGGATGCCGTACATTATTGGGCCTTTGAAGACCACACTTTCATTGAAGACTCACGCGGAAACAAAAGCGGCATAGTTAATGGAAGTGTTGATAGTATCGCCCAAGGAGGTCATAACTATGCTGTGCAAATAACTGGACAACCTAGCTGGATCAGCTTTGGAGACTTCAGTCAAGAATGTTTGGGCGACTTCAGCTCTTGTCAAAATGGACTAGCTTTATCGTTTTGGTTGAAGCATTTTGTCAAAGTTGGAAAAGCTTTGAAACAAAATTTTTTGACTTTAGGAAACGTCGCAGAAGGTGAAAGAGGATTTGAGTTTGGATTCGATCCGGCCGTTCAAGAAGGTATGGTGGCGTGAATGATGTGTTGTGTCAACGTGGAATGAAAAATAAATATGAACGAACGAAAGAAAGGAGGGGAGGGGGAGCGGAGGAGAAGATTGATTGTTGAATTATGCCAAAGAAGCCAAATGTTACGGATCTCTATTGATAATTCTTCTTTTTTACTCTTCTCAATGAAGGTGAATTTCCACTAATATCAGTCCGTGTCAACCTTCCTGAAAAACACTGTCAGTACCAGATACCCGTGCAGAGCTCGGTGTGGTGCCACATCGGATTCTCCTTTGAAGATACGACTGCACTGAGCGTATATCGCAATGGAAAATTGGTTGACACAGGCGGAACTCCATCCTGCATCAATTACACCAGTAAAAAACCTCTCAGTAATGAACTCAAAGCTGGTTTACCAACACAGGCAGCAACCTTCCAATTAGACGAACTTGTGATTTGGAATAAATGGCTGGAAGAGAGAGATTACATCTATAGATATCGATATGTTACCGGTAAGAGTAAAGATAAAACAGTCCCTATCACAGTTCCTTGAGAGGTAGCCGTGCACTGCATCGAAGCGAGACGAACGGTGAGCTTTCAATGATAGAGGCCCTATTTAACACCTTGGACAATTATTCACGTCTCTATTATTGCGAGCTCACTCGCTTTGATGCAAAGGCACGGTTACCTTTTAAGATGGCGCAGGAAACTGTGAAAGGGACTATTCCTTTGTAGGAGAGGCTATTGTTTAGATGAGATGTCGTTAGAAATCGGAAACTTTTCGAATCTACCGCGGTTGGCTAGTTCTATTTAAAGTTAATCAACCCATTTACTTAGAATGAGGTCTTCATTTTCAAAGTGTGTTCCTGATTCTTTCATTCGATATTGGTAATTTGTGATTGCCGGTGTTCTCTAAATCATAGTGGCACTTTAAACACTAAGTAAAAGGTTTTCTTCCAATCGATACATAGATGGCAGAGTGGTTTGAAAAGTGGGGATGGGGTATCAGATCACGATATTCTTGAATCCACCTGAAATCATTCTCGTTTCCTTTAGTGTATTTATTAAATTCCCATTAAAAGGTGCTAAGAAATCCCCAGCCCCACCACCTAGGCAGTATAATCCAGTTTTCCTGCAATTTTCCCCACAAARAAATATGCAAATTATTAGCTTAGAAAGAAACTTTTCGCATATATCATTTGTATCAGATGTTTCAAAAATAGCTATGATACCGATACCTATGAACACAACTAACGCTGGTTTTTCCATTCAATAATGAATACGACTGAAACACTGTTTCCCTTGCTCTTCAGATGGTTTGGAACAGAACATTAATCTATTACTGAAGCTAAAAAATGAAGTCTGGGATGACCAACTAAGTAATCTCGAAAGTAAGAAGGCTGTGAATCTTGCAGAAAAGATAATAGAAAGTGTAAGTTGATGCTGACCTATAACAACCTTTAGGGGGCATCATCCAACATGGCTGCCACTGTTATTTCCTTAGGAATGATTACAAACGACCTATAGTGAACATCATCCAACATGGCTGCCACTTTTATTTCCTTAGGAATGATTACAAACCACCTATAGTGAACATCATCCAACATGGCTGTCACTGTTATTCCCTTAGGAATGATTACAAACCACCTATAGTGAACATCATCCAACATAGCGGCCACTTTTATTTCCTTAGGAATGATTACAAACCACCTATAGTGAACATCATCCAACATGGCTGCCATTTATTCCCTTAGGGTCAGCATGCAAGATTAAAAACAGCGTTTGTTTTTTTACTTCTCAGTTTCAAGCTATGTTYGGCAACAGTTCTTACAATGGGAAACCAGTCAAGGTCATCATTCACGGATTTAGGTAAACGTAGTGATATGTGGTTTTGTCAGCCTTCATATTTCAGTAACACACTAAAATAACTTTTGGACTGGTGAAAGTTAGCAGAGCAGGAGACTCAGATCGAATTGGAGTTTAACTTGTTAGGTTTAGCGGAGGGATGAAAACTGGTCGGAGAACCGGTCGGAGAACCGGTCGGAGAACCGGTCGGAGAACCCTCGAATCCAGAGAGAGACCCTAAACTCCATTCATATGAAATTCCGAGTCCAGGAATCAAACTGACCTAAGACCTGGGAGGTAAAGGGGCAAGTGCATTACTGCTACGCGCTACTCTTGATTCCCAGGACAACTTCCAATACTGAATGCGCTAATCATCCTATATTATCATATTAGCTTACCTAACATTTGTTTTATTGATCTCTAGTCCTGGAAGCGTCAACGTCAACACAACACTACTGTTTGAATCGCTAACCTACAATGATACACTGTTGTTAGAAAGGTGGTTATTCGAACAAAACGCTCTAAACACTATTCCTGTCAATGTGCTGAGGATCTCATCAAACACTGGTACGTTACAAAATATTCAGGATATTCTTTTCTCGATGYCAAAATTATATTTTAAATGTTGTGATGTTTTTAAAGCTGCGTCTGGCAAAAAACTATTTGGTGGTGTTGGTAATGAAGATGAGGGTGTTTTTGATGATAATAATGACGAGGATGAGGATGTTGCTCGTGTTGATAATGACGATGGTGATAGCCTACTAGTAGCTCATCCAATCARAACCGCTAGTTGGATTTCACTAATTGCTAATTAGTATAACCTAATTTCATTATTTTGATTTGTTTCTATTTGACTATTACACTTCCATTGACTAGTATTTTTTTTATTTCACGGGTTAAATGCCTTCATTCTAACTACTGAAGAATCTTTTCAAGAGTTTTATCAAGTAAAATAAACCAAATAATAAATGTTTCAGTTCCAGACATATATCCAAAGATAACAACCATCGGCAAGAATACCTCAGCGGTATACGTCAATTGGACCATTGGTGACTACACCAGTACATACCAGTTATTTCAAGGATSCCGTATCCTTTACAGGCTAACAGATGAACCGAACGCTACTTTCATGGTCCATAACGCCATTGGTGTAGATAACTACACAGTGGTGCCCAACATGAAATTCACTGTCAATTACACTATGAGACTCCTGTTGTTCACGTTGTCGGGCGATGGGCTGATTTCTCCTATTTTTTATGCTACGACTTTGGAAGATTGTAAGCATTTCAATTGATGTTATCTCTGATTGCGTGCATATGACGTTATAGCCTAGCAGCCATGTTTATTGACTCGAACAAAAAAATTGATCTTGACGGCCACGTCTTTTTCTTGGGAAGCACGGGTGGCGGAGCGGTAAGACCCCTCGCCTCTCGACCCTCCAATGCGACCCGTGTTCGAGTCGTACCCAGCTTTTCCTTGGCAAGCACCTTACGTATGGTCACCGAGTAGGAAATAACAGATCCTTATGAAGAAAATCATCTGTCTTAGTGGTACATACTCCCATGGCATTATTATTAGACTCTTCCTCAAGTTTGAACTGGACAACTATACTGTACTTAAAACTTTTTTTTTCTGTTTCATAGTGCCGAATGAGATTCCTGGCAACACCTCTGCAATGAACACAAGTTCATCATCGCTCAACTTTACATGGTCGCACATTCCTACTAAAAGTTGGCGAGGTAAACCACTGGGTTACCGGGTCAGGTACTGGCTTCCAGAGGTTCCCACGGACGGTGTGCTGAATATAACGGTAGCACCGGAAAAAAACATCACTGAAATGAAATCCCTGAGGAAGTATATGGTCTATTGCCTGACAGTTGCGGGCTTTAATTCTGCTGGTGATGGTAATTACTCCTCTCCTGTGTGTATAAGGACTGATGAAAGTGGTGAGTATATYTATATACCCAACATATAAAGCGTGCCCTGATTGGTTCTATGTCTTGTTTTGTACGTTGTACTGGAAAAAATACCCAAGATGTAACACGTGTTCTGATTGGCTCCATGTCATGTTTAGTACATTGTACAAAGAAAAAAACCAAGTAGCGAGTTTTCTTATTGGCTCCATATCAAGTTTAGTACATTCTACTGAGAAGAATGTCAAAACTTTAAAAAGAATTGCAACTCAATTCAATGATTCTTGTTGCTTTTTATATGAACAGGACAAATTAACTGGGAGTTTAATGATGTATAATATTTCCTATTGCTTTAGTTCCCGACGCACCCCTTGACGACATTCAACTCAAAAACATATCAGGCTTTGAAATTCAAATAACGTCCAATGGCGTCCCATTTCTAAATCGCAATGGCATAATTACCAAGTACGTACTTTACTGGACCTCGAGTGATTCAAAAGGCACAGTGCTTTGTTTCAACGCTACCCTCATAACYTGTGAACTCAAAGGACTAAAGCCTTACACTGCTTATAACATATCGGTGACTTCGTACACACGGATCGGTGTTGGTGTGATCAGTAACTTCTCGGTATTCAGCGATGAACACGGTAAGGTTAATTTTTTCGGTTTTACTGAGCTAATTTAAACGGGTATATGAGCGATGGTCTGTTATCAATGCGACTAGGATTGGRTTTACTGCTATAGAGGACTGGCTCCATCACATGCTTATCCCAYATTACTGYTTGSGCTTCCTGTGGTTAGATGGCAGAACAATTAAATCTTTTCTCTCGGGAATTGAATTCGTTCTCATCTAAAATGACTGTATTGTTCCTGCCATCTAACATAGCTCYCGTCAMGTGGTGGTGCAAAACCTCTATTGACTTTAGATTTTCTCTCTTAGAATAAGGAAGCCAAGACCGAAATTGTACATGGAAAGTACGCATAAGAATTAGATATATCTAGTGATAGAACTCCTTGAATGTTCATATATTGTTCACTGACAGAATGCATGCTTTTAACACACGTTTTAACTGACGGTGCATTTCAAATTAATTGTCATTTCCCAGAATAAATTTCGGTTTCAGCTTTTAAAAGTTCTTTATTTACCCAACAATTATTTTGCAATTAAGGGTATTAATCAATGTTTTACTTTTGTATTTTTTTAAATAAATAAGTTTTTTCATAATCTCTGGTGCTAACAAACCTGATCCTCGATCCATGCTCGACTTGGCATTAATTTTCTTGGTATTACYATTACAGTACCATCCTTGCCACCACGGATCTTGTCTGCTTACAACACTAGCTCTAGCAGTATACACATCTCATGGACAGCGATACCAAGGGCGAACCATCATGGTGTTCTTAGAGGGTATTACATCGAATATGCCATCAAGGGATCCAATCTTTGGGAARGAAGTTTCGTCTGTCACAGCCAGCTGTCTGCCAATCTTACCAACTTGACTGCATATAGAGAATACGAGATTAGGATTGCTGGGTTTACGTACAAAGGAAATGGGAATATGAGTGACAGTGCGTTTATTTGGACGGAGCAAGACAGTAAGTGATCACCACCCGATGGATGAATGGGTGGAAAGATGGGTGAATGAATGGATGGAAAGATGTGTGAATAAATGAATGGGTGGATAGATTGGCGAATTAATGGTGGATAGATTGGTGAATGAATGGATGGATAGATGGGTGTATGAATGGATGGATTAATGGATGGATGAAAAAATGGTTAAATAGAAGGGCGGGAATAAATGAATATATGCACGTATAAAGAAGTGAGTGGATGGATGGAAGGGTGGAAGGAAGGAAAGAAAGAAGAAGGGAAAGAAGAAAGACGCTGATAAAGGAAAGAAGAAAATAAGGAAAGGAGAAAGCAGGGACGTAAGAAAGGAGAAAAAGAACAACAGCAGAAGCGGAGTTGGTTTTTAAATTGGAYCTCTCCTGTTTCTTTTAAAGCATCTGCACATACGGTTGAGGTATCCAGGAAATATAGCATGATTTTTTAAAAARCCTAATTGGTTCTGTTATTCTTTCTAGCTCCCTTTTCGCCACCTGTGAACATCACTGGGAAAAACCTCAGCTCAACGAGTCTTCAACTGCAATGGAAACCCGTTCCTTACGAATACGCGCGCGGCATCATTTTATATTACAAGATTATTGTACTCGGATACCGTTTGGCGTACAGGAACATTTCCAATGACACTTCGTGGAATGTCACAATAAATGATGAAAATATATTGCAGCACCAGTTTAAGTCATTAGAAAAGTACACCGATTACACCTTTCAAATGCTGGCCTCTACTATCAAGGGCGAGGGTAATATCTCTGAACCGTTGACAGTGCGGACTGATGAAGACTGTGAGTATATATATTTGCTATAGATAGAAAAATGAATGAAAACTGAATAGGAAAACTGACGAGACCCTTTTCTATCCCCTCATGTTACACGAGTACTTTTTCTCCTATGAATTTGTGAAAGAGTATTTTCTAAATCCTTAATAAAAGTATCAATAGATCAATAGATAAGGAAGTTAAGGAAGCAAAATTGGAGGAAGACAGGTAGGAGTGATGGAAAGGGTAGAAAGGATGAAAGGAAGGAAGCCGAAGGAAGGAACACACGGATGCCAAGAAAACATATAACGAATACATTAATATTAGCAATACTCCCGTTTCGAGTTCTCTTTGCTCAGTAAATTAATATTCAGCTATTCGACCAAAACCCGTGACATTTTAACTCAATTWWCTCGAATAGTKCCGCAGTACATACATTTCTTAYTATACAATGGAAGAAAAGAATGAAAGAAAAGAACACATTTCTACGCAAAACGAGGCTAAAACTGAGCAAAGGMGAACTCGAAATGGGAGTATTGCTAGGTTTCAATCGGCTGATAAAAGTCTTTGAATCTYATYATCTGCTTCAARTGATGGTCAAACACTGACCACCATGTGYTGTCAACTAGAAAAAATTATATTGAAAACCAGTGATTCAGCTGACGAACAATYCGCACGAGRCAGGAAATTACGTCACGTGAAACCCAGCAATTTCGAGGCTGAAGAAAAAAAAATGGGTGGAGTTGACATTGCAGTGTATAAGCCTTTTCATAGTTTAAGAATCGATTCCACTGCGCATGCGATTTTATCCCGAATTTCTCACCTTCCTTTKTCTAAACCTTCTTTTGTTCTTAATTAAACAAAAGAAGGTGAGAAATTTGGGATAAAATCGCATGCGCAGTGGAATCGATTCTTAAACTATGAAAAGGCTTATTGTGGGACTGTTTGAGAAAATATTTTCAASATAGTGGTTATTTTATTTCGTCTCCTAAAACAGTCCCACATTAAACTGTAATGTCAACTCCACCCACATTTTCTTTACCTCGGAGTGCAYGGCTTATAGAAATGGACGGGTAAAAGAACAAGTGCATCAGATTGCTTGAACAAATGAATGTATATGAAAAGTAGCCATATTGTTTGTTCTGCAGCACCTTTTAAAGCACCAACAAACGTGACTCTAAAAAGTGACGTCTGGCATTCCATCCAAATCGACTGGACACTAGTGCCGCCCGAAGAGATACCTGGAATATGCAGGGGATACAAAGTTTACTATATTCGCAAAGAAGGATCAGTCGACGTGCTGAAGAATATGATAATACCACCTACCGCTGTAACCGTTACAATTCCTTACCTGTCTGGTTTTATAATATACGGCATATGGGTCTCTGCTTTCACGTATCCGGCTAAGATCGGCCCAAGTGCTAACCTAACCATCAAGACAGAAGATTGGTGTAAGTAATCATTTTATACATTCTTACAGTAAATGTTGTAMACCGAATCGAACAAGACGCTCTAAGAGCGTATACTGGGTCATAAAAAWTAACGGCTGTAATCTCCGTGCATGTATAAGCGATGTCGTCCGTCCATCCTCCTTTTTYATTTCATTTTTTGAAAATACTTCGTAATACCTAATTTTATAGAGGAAATATTTTTAAAATCTGACTATGTGATCAAATCGAAACAAGACAAAATTGACTCAGAACCTAGCTTGTCACGACCCGACAATATGAAATTGCCCAAACTTGTCCGCGGTAAATGAACCCGATGRAAGAAGTTATGTCAGTATTTCACTCATAAAACATTCATTTGCTCACYYAAATAAGCCARCTTTTTCTCCGAATTTCCTTAGAAATATCAATCAGCTTGTCTTTATTCGGGTTTGTAAGTCACTGTTTTTTTAGAGCAAATCTTCGAGTCGTTGACCGAGACGGCCTCGATCAAAGCAGCCTCAAAGCCTAGTTAAGAGTTCATTGAGAAACACTTGATTTATATGGTAAGTTAGGCTGATTTTTCCTCAAGATTCCATCGGAATAGGTATTCTCTTTGTTCTTTAGTATTTTTTCAAGTTCTTCTTTTGTCGTTTATTATTTTAGTGAAGAAATCATTGCGTAAAGTTGACTATTATCAAAAGTGTTTGCCGTGGCATTGAAGCTTGTTGATTGCCCTTACRAAATTATTTTAGTCTTCGTTCAAAGCAAAATTAAAACACGAACAAACCTTTTTATGCTTTCTATRTTCGTTTATAGYATTTAATCTCACTGAATCAGTGWACACRAATGAGAATAWATGACTTACTAGTAAAACTCCGCGATGAAMKTCWACCGCGTGAAATTGAAGGTCGCCAACTTTATTTAAAGATRGACTTCGCTCATGTCCCGATAAAAAGCTAAAGATATAAATTTTTGGCCACATATATCCTCAAAGAACATGCAMGATTCGATTCAATAATAGCCTGYATGTGAACTCGCACATGAAGTTATCGACACGTCATCCAATTCATATATGGGTAATATTGCGCAACTTTAAAAAAAAAACCAGAAGTATTTTAAGACTGGTTTGCCACAGGCAACCCAGTAGTTTCACCATTTTTCATACATCGGCTCACTGGTCAAATGCAAAGCATTCATTAAGTACCTTGGCGCCTCGCTTGAGCATTTTGTGTTTGATCATGACCAGTAAACCAATGTTTGGAAAATGGTGAATATGGCGACCAATTCGAATAAATATTGTTCTGGGACAGACTAGCCTCCTGTTCACGTGAATACACAAAAGCGTTTTTACATGTATGCAGAGAGAATAGTCAGTCCGACCAGAACAATAGTTATTCAAATCTGTGTATACATTTTGCAAGGCGTGGTTCATACATACATACGTGTATACATTTTGCAAGACGTATTTTAAGACTGGTTTGCCACCGGCAACCCAGTAATATCACCATTTTTCATACATCGGTCTACTGGTCAAACGCAAAGCATTCATTCGAGGTTGCAAGGTTTAAATTCAAGTACCTTGGCGCCTCGCTTGAGCACTTTGTGACCAGTAAACCAATGTATGGAAAATGGTGAATATGGCGACCAATTCGAATAAATATTGTTCTGGGACAGACTAGCCTCCTGTTCACGTGGATACACAAAAGCGCTTTTACATGTARAGAGAATAGTCAGTYCRACCAGAACAATAGTTATTCAAATCGGTGTATACATTTTGCRAGGCGTGGTTCAGTAAAAGTCCTTGCTTAGTCCTTGTACCTAGAAATCCTCCWGTGTTCCAGTCTCGTCCTCAGGGATGGATGTCAARTGAAAAGGGGGTTAACACATCTACCCTTCCCTGCTAACAGAGTCTTCTTTTTGTTTTCTTTTGCTGGATCGGCATTCACAAGGAAAASGAGACTCTTCCCCCAACCGTCACCTTTTCTGTTACGCATGTGTGAGCGTAAACAAAAGAGCCAGCAGGGAACATCTATCCTAGAAACCAGTGAATACGCCCCTGAAGAAGGCTTACGAGTTGCAACGGATGGCTCAGCAAGTCTTTGCTTATTTATTAGTACCTAGCAAYCCTCCTCATGATTTTTCCAGTGTTCCAGTCTTGTCCTCAGGGTTGGTTGGTTATCAATGAGATACGGGGTTTTCACATCTACCATAGAAATCATTAGATACGYCCTAAGTTAGGAAAAATGTACAAGGTTGCAACGTCTGGATCAGTAACATTTCTTGATATTCAATTAGTACCTAGGATTCCTCCTCCTGGCTTCACTGGTGTCCCAGTCTCTTCTACAAGTCTTGGTCTGACCTGGAAGCAACTCCCACTTGAACTAACCAATGGCGTAATGGTTGGCTATGTTGTCGAGTACACTAACACCAACAAGTCAATCGCGCAAAACGCTACTTTTCCAACAGAGCAAACGAATACTTTGTTAACCGGCCTGAGAAAGTTTAATTACTACAAGATAAGAATTATTGCACAGAACGTCAACGGCTTCGGTAACTGGAGTGACTACATAACTCTGAGGACCGATGAGGATAGTAAGTGACTCAGTTTCATTTTAACCGTGAATTTGTTACAGCGCTTCTCAATCACCTGTCATCCACTCCGCTATCTACGACTGCTGCAGGGAGTGTCCTCATTCAACTGGGAGGATCAGAGTTAACTACACACATGACGGATAAGGCAACCCAGCTAACAAGCCCTGGGATATCCTCAGTTTAACCGTGAATTAGTTACAGCGCTTCTCAATCACACGCGTGAAATCGTATAATTCCCTGTTGCGMCAAAATAGAATTTTGATAGACGTCAATCAAAGGGTTTTCATAACATTGTCGGAAAACACGAAGCCTAGAGGGCACGTGTGATTGAGAAAGGCTGTTTAGATTAATATCCTCACCATCTTTGATCCAGCTCCAGAGAAGCCACCGACAAACGCCACAGGATCTACAGCCAGCCCAACCTCCCTGATTGTCAAATGGAACCCAGTCCCCTGGGACTATCGGCACGGTTTCATATTGGGCTACACAATTTATTATCGACCTATTTCCGAAGCTGAAGAACCTTTGCCTTATTCTACGCCCAAGCAAATCAATGTTGCACCAGATGTCTTGGAGTTGASTATTGATGGTCTGTCATCTTTTACTGAGTACTCAATTGAAGTTGTAGCGCAGACAGTGAAAGGAGAAGGAATAAAAGCCTCTTCCATTATTGCAAGTACGAATAGAGCATGTGCATGCTACGTCACAGACGCCATGTTGGTTGACGAGAACAAAGCATTCATCATTAGCTTCTCTTGTTAGGTCAAACAACATGGTGGCTGTTTCATTGTTATTCATATCTCAAGGGATTTTGAGTCACATGGTTGCACACACTGTATAGTTTTAACACTTGATTCGAAATAGAGGGATGTCGGGCAATAGGCTTTCGTCTACGAGGAACGAGGAAACCGTAAGAAGGTACATGGGGAATTACTTTAACGATATACTTTCGATTGGCAGTATATTTTCTATTGATTTCAATGTTGAGTCTGTGGTCTCGATCAGCGCGTAGCCATGAACACAGCCCTAAAGAATTATGGCTAAGACTAGAATAACATAATTCAAAAGAGTAAACGGTTTGAACCCAGGTGTTGAAATTTGTTGTGAAGTGCRATGGTGAGTGTAGTCTTGAGTCGGAAAGACTGTTGTTGGTGTCGAAACGTCAGTCACCACCACCAACAGTCTTTCTCAAGACTACACTCACCCGGACTATCACATTTCACCACTAACATTATCCAGCTGCTTATCACCCCTTGTTTGTCAGGTGTACAGCAAATCTGCATATATTTTACACCCAATAAAAGTGACAGAACGAATCAGGCTAATCCTTTAAAAGGTTTCAGATACGGAGGCGTTAAACCACTTGTCTCTCTCTCCCGCCCTTTTCTTTTAATTCCTCTCCTGATGACATARTTTCCTGACAAATTTACCGAGTATAAATAAATTTTTCTTATTCTCTTCTCTCCCCCTTCTAGTCCCACCCTACCGCTGACCCCATGCTCAGGAAGGTCGGCGGCTATGGCTAACTACATGACTGGAGACATATTTTTTTGYTCAAAAGACGATGTTGATGGTTTTCACGGCGGCCATGTTGGAGGAACTTAACAAAAGAATTGTAAATGAATTCTTTTGTTATATCCTCCAACATGGCCGCCGTGTCTTTTGTTATTCAATTCTCTTGGAAATGGTTGAAAACCATCAATAGAAACATACACATTAATGTTTTCTTGAAATTTTGTACCAGGTACTTGTCGATGCTTCGAGGAGATTTTGACAAACTGGAGGGACTTACCTCCATATRTTAGGTCCAACTTAACAGACGAACCACTAGGAATGATGCCTTACGTCATCCACACCGCTATCTACGAATGCTGTAGGGAGTGTCCTTCTCATTCAACTGGGAGGATCAGAGTTAACTACACACACGACGGATACGGCAACCCAGCCAACAAGTCCTCGGATATCCTCGTTAAGAGCTACATTGATGACCAAACCGATGTCCATTTTCCAATATTTGGGTTCCAAGATCAGACTCATTTCTCGAAGTATTATGCCTATATACCTATCGTGCCTTCAGCTGGGGTAGCCTTTTTTGTTAACAAGGAAGGAGGTGCAGCTAGTCCGCAGAATGTTGCCGGAGCAGTCTTCAGTTGTTGGCCTTTGATCATGTTTAATTTGATAATGGCATTCCTTGTTGGCCTAATCGTTTGGTTGTTGGTAAGTGCTTTAAGTAGGACAGTTACTTTCTCTTGTTGGAAGTTTGAGGAAAACTAATGAGGCCAAGATGGCGCACTCATATGGGAATGAATTTAGAGTTAAGATCAGAATGATCCGCCATGACACGTACTTAGGTTCATCCCCTCAAATTTATGAACCAGAACGTCTCGAGTTCATCTTGCCTTGGAAGGAGCTGCACGTTGATGAGCAGCGTGATGAAAGCGGGAAAGACGGTTATATCTCTGTGTACAGGACACAATAGAAGATAGAAGTA